TCAAACCCCCAAGGATCATTATTATTGATGGTGTAAGACAAAAGAAGGCAACAGTGGGAGATTATAGAGAAAAGATCCAGAGAACGTGAGATACGGTCACTTTCCGCCCCTCCCACCAGCTCGGTGTCATGCTCCGTCAGTGCCAAGCGCTCTGGGGCACTACCCTGCCCGGAGGAGGGGGGGGGGGGGGGAGCTGTATTTTAAAAAAATGCAAGTTGTTGTTGTTTTCAACTCTAGATTTCCTGACGCGGCATTATCGCATATATTTTCCACAATGCAAAACTTGTATGATCATACGTGACACAGAGAAACAGGACAGGAGGATCAATGACAGGACTGCACTGTATGGTAAGAGCAAAATTATACCTCCGATCTCCCAATGTCCCGGTCGACAGCCCCCTCCCTCCCCCATAAAAAGACTAATAATATAATAATAATAATAATAATAATTATTAAGTACGATCACTGCACTTTACAGTAAAGCCCTGTGAAACCTCTCCCTGTCCTCTGGTACTGTTCCCACCCCATTAGAAACCGCTGCCATCACTCCTATCCTCATCCCTGGACCCTTCTCTACTCCCTAACTGCTGCCCCATCTCCAACCTCCCCTTCCTCTCCAAGGTCCTGGAACCAGTTGTTGCTTCTCAGCGTCTCGCCTTCCTCTCCCCACCCAACTCCCTTCTCGAACCCCTCCAATCGAGTTTCCGCGCCGCCCCCACAGCGCAGGAACAGCTCCGGTCAAATGACATTCTGCCCATCTGCGACCAGTCCTCGACTGGTTCAGATCGTACCTCTCACACTGCCTGCACTTCATCTCCTCAAACGGCTTCTCCTCCGGCCCCCGCACCGTCTCGTGCGGTCTTCCTCGGGGCTCTGTCCTTGGGTCCCCTCCTCTTCAACATCTATATGCTCCCTCTTGGTGACCTCATCCGCAGACACGGGGTCAACTTCTACATGTCTGCAGATGATACCTATCTCTACCGCTCTGCCTCCACCCTCGACTTCAGGACCCACTGCTGTGCTGACAGAACGTCTGTCAGACATCAAGTCCTGGAGGACAGCGAACTTTCCTCAGTTGAACGTCAACAAGACCGAGGCTCTCCTGATTGTCCCGTCAGCGCCTCCTCACCTCAGGCGCTGACAGCATCTCCATCCGTGGTTGCACACTCCGCCTCGCTAAGCCAGTCCGGAACCTTGGGGTCTTGTTCGACCCTCACATAGCCTTTCTACCCCACAGCTGCGCCATGACCCGCTCTGCCTTCCCCCACCTCAGCAATATCTCCCGGCTCCGACACTGTCTCACACCACAGGCCACCGAAAACCTCGTAGATGCCTTCATTACAGTGAGGCTCGACTATGCAAGCTGATTGCTTGTCGGCCTCCCCAACTCCTCCCTCCACCGGCTGCAGATCATCCAGACCTCTGCAGCCCGTGTCCTCTCCCGCACCGGGCTCCGTGACCCGATCACCCCCATCCTCGCCCGACTCCACTGGCTTCCTTCCCATCACACAAGAGGATACAGTTCAAGATCCTGGTCCTCACCTTCAAAGCCCTCCGCGGTCTTGCTGCCCCCGACCTTGGGAAGTCCTCCCGACGCGAAAGGCGCTTAGACAAATGTAATTTTGGTGGCGGCGGCGGTGGTGGTGGTGTTGAAGTGCCCTGAGACGCCCTTCTGATGTGAAAGGCAGTCCTGTAGCCCAGTGGTTAGAGCACTGGCCTCGCAAGTGGGAGACCGGGGTTGGATTCCCTTTCAGGGCAAAACCTTGGCCAAGTTTCCTCACTTCACACACCTGATAAGTAATCCCTCAAGAAAAAATAATAATAAATTGGTCACCCCACACACTTACCTATTATTATCTATACTCAATAAAGACAAAGTGTTGGTGTTCGTGCGTCTGTGTTTCTGACAATAGCCCCAATAACTGATTGACGTAGAGAGATATCTGTCACTCAAGAAAACAAAATAATAATAATTGGGTCACTTCAATCCACGACTGTTCGTGCGACGTTGCTGTGCGCGATTGGCTGCCGCGTTCGCCCACAAGTAAACAGCCCATTCGCTTTAAAGTATATTCTGTGAAGCCCTTTCGGACATCTAGAAGACGGGAAAAGCTCTGTATCAAATGCATGGATTATCATCATCGTCGTCATCATTATTATTATTATTAAGAACGCAATAATCGATTTGACGTAGAGACACGGATCATTCCTCATCGGAAAGGTCTGGCATGTGGGAGTGTCACGGGCATATTTGTTTCAGGGATCTCCTATCCCGATGAGCTATATGAGCTAAGAAATGCTTTAGTTAAGCCCCAAAATATAAGGTATGCATAGTATTCGGCAAGGAAGCGTCAACAGAGGAAAGCACACGCACACTCGTCCGGAGATACATCTGTACTGATATTTTCTGCAACGACTTCGACGCGGAAAGGCGTGCAAGGTGTACGCACAGTGTTTGCGGCACGCGAAATGGTTTGGGAGCGGTATGACTGAAATCTACATTCCACGTCGGATCCTTAGGTTGGAAGCGCAGCCGCGATGGTTACAATCATCCCTCCCCCCCCCCCACAAAAAAAGACACACATAATAAAATCGGTCATTTTCAATCCACGGGCTGTTCGCGGGGGACGCTGCTGCGCGCAACTGACCGCCGCCTTTCGCCCACAAGTATGCGGTCAGTTCACGTTGCAGCCTATTCTGTGAAGCGCTTTGAGACGTCTCGAAGACCGTGAAAAGCGCCGTATCCAACGCAAGGATTATTATTAGTAGTAGTATTGAATGAAACCGAAGAGCAAAGAGCAGCGCGGCTGGACTGCAGCGCTGAGAGGACTGCGAGGACACGGCAAAACGAACTGCCCGCTCAAAAGAACGCCGTGCCTCTCCTCCCGGCTGAGCATGAAGACAAAATGTCTGTCCGTGGGTCAATCCGCGCTCCGTATCGGAGACTTCGGGTTGCGAACGAAGCCGCAACGGTCACGGCTGGGCTGGTTATCGACAAAAACAGAAGTTGCAGGTCGGGCAGCATCTATGGAGAGAGGAAAATGAGTTGCAGTGTCAGGTCGACGACCTTTCCATCGACACCCGACGCGGTAAATCATTCTCCTCTCTCCGTAGATGCTGCCTGACCTGCTGACCGTCCCCAACCCACTTCTGGTTAGATTTCAGATGTCCAGCACCTGCAGTGCTGTGCCTTTTGCTTATTGTTACTGCGGCTCAGTTGCCTTTGCTCTGCCCACACAGCCAGGAAACCGACGGTGGGCGACCACGTGAAAAACAATTTTAAAATCCGAGCCAAATGCCTGAAGATGGACAACTTCTACGTCATGCCTCGTAAACTGGGTTAGTCGCTGCTGAGCCCTGGGGAGGGGGGGGGGGGGCAAATGCACCGAGACGCACACGGTCAACACGACACGGAACGACATTCACACCGAGCCGGACGTCCTGTGGCGCTGGGCTGGACAGTCAGGGATTTGGACCCCGAGCTGGCGGTTGGGATTAGAAGGGGTGGAGGGCAGTGAGGGTAGGGGTAGGACCGGGTGAAGCGTTGGGTAAGTTTCCTCACGTGACACGCGCACACACCCGATGAACCTGGTCGTAAGTAGGAACCCGGTTCTTAAGTCGATTCGCAGATCACTTTCCGGGGGGGGGTTAATAAACCCCTTCGAGAATACGTATTTTTTTAAAATCATAATTCGGTCACTCAATCCACCACTCTTTGCGGGACGCCGCCGGGCGCAATTGGCTGTCGCGTTTCGCCCGCACAATGCACAGTCGCCACACTTCACAGCCTGTCCCTGCGAAGCGCTTCGAGACGTCTCGAAGACGTGATAAGGCGCTGCGTCAAACACGAGGATTATTATTAGCCAAGTCCAGACATGGAACAACATCGGGGAGCGGGGCGATAGCGGTCGTCTCCTCCCCGCACTCCCTCACTCTGACTCTCTTCCTGCCTACAGCACCGTGTCCTTGACCGTCACTCAACTCCGGAAAGCCTGAGACATGACGATTGCAGCCCTTAGTCCTCCGTCTCTCTCTCTCTCTCTCTCTCTCTCTGTGTCTCTCTCTCTTTCTCTCTCTCTCTGACGGTCTTCCTCATCAATAAATTACCTTTTTCTGCATCTCGTTCACGCGTGTTTGTGTTCCGAGTTCACGTGCGGTTGGCCGACAGCCTCAAAAAAAAATTCAACGCGACATTTACACGGAGGGCTTCACGTCGGGAGGACGTCCCGAGGCGCTGAGATCGGAAGCACGGCCGAAGAGGAGATGGGTCTTGAAGGAGGCGAGGAGAGGGGGTGAGGCAGAGGGACTGCGGGATGGAGTTCCAGAGGGCGGGGGCAGAGGGCGTAATAATAATAATAATTATTATTATTAATAATAATAATAATAATAACAATAATAATAATAATCCTTGCATTTGATACAGCGCTTTTCACGTCTTCTCCACGTCCCAAAGCGCTGCACAGAACGGACTGTGGAGTGAACCGACTGCCATAAATGTGGGCGAAACGCGGCGGCCGATTGCGCACCGCGGCGGCTGTCCCGCACACCGCCGTGGACTGAAAATGGACCCCGATGTATTATGGTCTTTGTTTTTTCTGGAGGGCTTACTATTAGGGCTGTGCGCGCGTGGGGTGAGGGAACTCGCCCGAGGTCCGGCCCTGACCCGCCTGGAACACTGATTGACCGTACGTTGCGTGGGCGGAGGGCGGCGGCGTCCCCACAAACAGCCCCCACGGTGCAGCCGTTCGATCCGGTTCCCGAACTACACATTCCGCAGGACCCCCTTCCAAGCCGCCGGTGGGGTGGACGCGCCTGCGGTGGCAAAAAAAAAAAAACCTTTTGGTTTCAGGGGGCGGTTTTTTTTTGTTAACAGGAACCAGACTTCAAAACAGGATCACAAAGGGCAGAACGCGGCATTGTTTTGCTAATGAAAGCAAAGGAAAGAGAGGGGTCTCCCAGGCAAACAAACAGGACACATCGCCTGAGGTCTTTGTCCTGCGTGTGTGCCTCGTGTGGGTTGACTCATTGTGGGGAAGAGCTCGGAGAGAGAGGGCAGTGTGTGTGTGTGCGCAGAGAGAGAGAGAGAGAGAGAGAGGGAGAGAGGATCCTTGACGTGACTCTGGGGGTCTGAGCTGAAGCGACGCGGAGGCGCGAGGAGAAGGAACGAGACTCTCCCGAGTGGGGTCGAACTCGGAGCCCGAGGAGCGAGCGAGAGAGCGAGAGAGGGACAGAGGGAGAGAGCCGACAAGGACCACAAAGGCTGAAGGGGTCGGTCGCCTGTTCCCGGTCGAGAGACAGAGAGCAGAAGGCAGGAGAGAGGGGGGGGGACAGGTAGGCCGCGCCGCGCCGCGCCGCGAGCCGGGGGTCTCGGGTCAGCCGGTCTTTCAAATACCTAACAAGCCTTTCCGTTCGGGGGTTGGGGGGGTTTGGGGGGGGGTGGGGGGGGGGGGAGAAAAAATTGTCACTGAACCTCAACTCGAGTGTTTTTTTTTTGGGCTCTCGGTTTGGGGTTCGGCTCAAAGCCAAAAGAAAAATGATACCGTCAAACCGTCCGGTTTTAGTTCAGACGTTTTTAAAACGCTTTTAAGGTATTAATGGTAATAATTAATGATAATAATAATAATAATAAACTTTGCGCCCGATACGTGATTATAGATGTCGCAAAGTGCTTTCACAACACGTGTCGTAAAAGTCGGGCGATCGCAATTTGCGGGAGAAATGCGGTGGTCCAACTGGGGATTGTGCGGTGCCCCACAAACCGGTTGCGGATTGAGTGACCCCCAATGAGGGGATTTTTTTTGGAAGGCATTACGTTTTTTTTTAAACAGGTGAATCCATTTTTTTTTGCACAAAACCCCCCCCACCACCCCCCCCCAAAAAATTAATCGGTCTCTCTTTTTTATATATGTACATAAGGTTTACAAAAATAATTTTTTTTGGACCTTAACCGGTAAGTGCGGCGGAAGAGGAAGGTTCCCGGGCACGATGAGAGCGCTCACTTCGGACCGCCGGACCGCCGTTCCCGGACGGGTCAGGGCGAAAGGTCCGGCGGTTTTCCTTGCTCCGCGCCCGCACGCGGTAGGAACCCGGCCGTTAAGCCGATGGGCGTTGATCGCTTCTTCCAGAGGTGATAATTCCTTCGGGAACCAAAGCGTTTGGGGGACGTCGCTGTGTGCCAATCAGTTTGGTGGTTAGAGCCCTCGCCTCGCGGGCGAGAGGTCCCGGGTTCGATTCCCGGTCAGGTCAGGTTGGGCAAATTTCCTTACTCCACACACGTACCCGCGCACGCACACGCCTCGGTTCACCGAGCAGGAAGTAGGAACCCCCCCCCCACCCCCCCTCGTTAGTCGATTGGATGACTTTTCCGGGGTTTAACGATCCCTTCACAGATCACATCAGATGCAACGAATATTTTTCTTATTACCTTCCTATCTCAGCGGACACCGAGACTAATAACTTAATCATCTGAGGTGTTGTTTATTCCCCGTTTTACAGACCGGAGGACTCACAATGAGCCGAACTGGGGAGAGAGTCATCGCGGGACAGTGTAGTGCAGGTGGGTATTTACCATCAATATCACACACACACACACACCCCCCAAGCGAACGCAGGAGGGCGAGTGATGAGATTCGCAGACTAGAGTCTCCGACATGAACGTGAGTGATATCACAGTGCTCTGACCCCCTCCTCGACGCTCCCTGTCCCGGTGCGTACACCGGACTGCGGCTTTGCCTTCACAAGTCTTCGAGACGCCTCAAAGCGCTTCGAAGGGTATACCGCAAAGTGCAGTGACTGTGTATTTTGAGGGCGAAACGCGGCGGCCAATTACGCACAGCGACGTCTGCCCAAACAGTCCCGGATCGAGTGACCATTTTTTTGAGGGGGTTATTGCCCCCGGAAAGCGATCCACCCATCGACTGGCAGTCGGGTCCCTACTCGCTGCGTTGTAAACAGAGGCGCGTGTGTGGGGCAGTGAAACTCGCCCGAGGTTTCACACCGACGGGTGTCACACCCGGGTCCTCTCGCTCGCGAGGCGAGCGCTCTCACCACTGAGCGACACGGCTCCGCTTTCATCTGACGTGTGGTTTACTCCCCGTTTTACAGACCGGAGGACTCACAATGAGCCGAACTGGGGAGCGAGTCATCGCGGGACAGTGTAGTGCAGGTGGGTATTTACCATCAATATACACACACACACACACACACCCCCCAAGCGAACGCAGGAGGGCGAGTGATGAGATTCGCAGACTAGAGTCTCCGACATGAACGTGAGTGATATCACAGTGCTCTGACCCCCTCCTCGACGCTCCCTGTCCCGGTGCGTACACCGGGCTGCGGCTTTGCCTTCACAAGTCTTCGAGACGCCTCAAAGCGCTTCACAGGATATATTGTAATAATAATCCTTACATTTGATATGGGGCCTTAACACATCATTCAGACGTCTCAAAGCGCTTTAAAGGATATACGGTAAAGTGAATCGATTGTATATTTTGAGGGCGAAAAGCAGCGGCCAATTACACACAGCGACGTCCGCCCAAACAGTCCCGGATCGAGTGACCATTTTTTTGAGGGGGTTATTGCCCCCGGAAAGCGATCCACCCATCGACTGGCAATCGGGTCCCTACTCGCTGCGTTGTAAACAGAGGCGCGTGTGTGGGGCGGGGAAACTCGCCCGAGGTTTCACACCGACGGGTGTCACACCCGGGTCCTCTCGCTCGCGAGGCGAGCGCTCTCACCCCTGAGCGACACGGCTCCGCTTTCATCTGACGTGTGGTTTACTCCCCGTTTTACAGACCGGAGGACTCACAATGAGCCGAACTGGGGAGCGAGTCATCGCGGGACAGTGTAGTGCAGGTGGGTATTTACCATCAGTATCACACACACACACACACCCCCCAAGCGAACGCAGGAGGGCGAGTGATGAGATTCGCAGACTAGAGTCTCCGACATGAACGTGAGTGATATCACAGTGCTCTGACCCCCTCCTCGACGCTCCCTGTCCCGGTGCGTACACCGGGCTGTGGCTTTGCCTTCACAAGTCTTCGAGACGCCTCAAAGCGCTTCACAGGATATATTGTAATAATAATCCTTACATTTGATATGGGGCCTTAACACATCATTGAGACATCTCAAAGAGCTTCAAAGGATATACTGTAAAGTGAATCGACTGTATATTTTGAGGGCGAAACGCAGCGGCCAATTACGCACAGCGACGTCCCCCCAAACAGTCCTGGATCGAGTGACCATTTTTTTGAGGGGGTTATTGCCCCCGGAAAGCGATCCACCCATCGACTGGCAGTCGGGTCCCTACTCGCTGCGTTGTAAACAGAGGCGCGTGTGTGGGGCGGGGAAACTCGCCCGAGGTTTCACGCCGACGGGTGTCACACCCGGGTCCTCTCGCTCGCGAGGCGAGCGCTCTCACCCCTGAGCGACACGGCTCCGCTTTCATCTGACGTGTGGTTTACTCCCCGTTTTACAGACCGGAGGACTCACAATGAGCCGAACTGGGGAGAGAGTCATCGCGGGACAGTGTAGTGCAGGTGGGTATTTACCATCAATATCACACACACACACACACACACCCCAAGCGAACGCAGGAGGGCGAGTGATGAGATTTGCAGACTAGAGTCTCCGACATGAACGTGAGTGATATCACAGTGCTCTGACCCCCTCCTCGACGCTCCCTGTCCCGGTGCGTACACCGGGCTGTGGCTTTGCCTTCACAAGTCTTCGAGACGCCTCAAAGCGCTTCACAGGATATATTGTAATAATAATCCTTACATTTGATATGGGGCCTTAACACATCATTGAGACGCCTCAAAGCGCTTCGAAGGGTATACCGCAAAGTGCAGTGACTGTGTATTTCGTGGGCGAAAAGCAGCCGCCAATTACGCACAGCGACGTCCCCCCAAACAGTCCCGGATCGAGTGACCATTTTTTTGAGGGGGTTATTGCCCCCGGAAAGCGATCCACCCATCAACTGGCAGTCGGGACCCTACTCGCTGCGTTGTAAACAGAGGCGCGTGTGTGGGGCGGGGAAACTCGCCCGAGGTTTCACACCGACGGGTGTCACACCCGGGTCCTCTCGCTCGCGAGGCGAGCGCTCTCACCCCTGAGCGACACGGCTCCGCTTTCATCTGACGTGTGGTTTACTCCCCGTTTTACAGACCGGAAGACTCACAATGAGCCGAACTGGGGAGCGAGTCATCGCGGGACAGTGTAGTGCAGGTGGGTATTTACCATCAGTATCACACACACACACACACACCCCCCCAAGCGAACGCAGGAGGGCGAGTGATGAGATTCGCAGACTAGAGTCTCCGACATGAACGTGAGTGATATCACAGTGCTCTGACCCCCTCCTCGATGCTCCCTGTCCCGGTGCGTACACTGAGTCTTCGAGACGTCTCAAAGCGCTTCTCAGGATATATTGTAATAATAATCCTTACATTTGATATGGGGCCTTAACACATCATTGAGACGTCTCAAAGCGCTTCAAAGGATATACGGTAAAGTGAATCGACTGTATATTTTGAGGGCGAAACGCGGCGGCCAATTACGCACAGCGACGTCCCCCCAAACAGTCCCGGATCGAGTGACCATTTTTTTGAGGGGGTTATTGCCCCCGGAAAGCGATCCACCCATCGACTGGCAGTCGGGTCCCTACTCGCTGCGTTGTAAACAGAGGCGCGTGTGTGGGGCGGGGAAACTCGCCCGAGGTTTCACACCGACGGGTGTCACACCCGGGTCCTCTCGCTCGCGAGGCGAGCGCTCTCACCCCTGAGCGACACGGCTCCGCTTTCATCTGACGTGTGGTTTACTCCCCGTTTTACAGACCGGAAGACTCACAATGAGCCGAACTGGGGAGCGAGTCATCGCGGGACAGTGTAGTGCAGGTGGGTATTTACCATCAATATCACACACACACACACACACACACCCCAAGCGAACGCAGGAGGGCGAGTGATGAGATTCGCAGACTAGAGTCTCCGACATGAACGTGAGTGATATCACAGTGCTCTGACCCCCTCCTCGACGCTCCCTGTCCCGGTGCGTACACCGGACTGTGGCTTTGCCTTCACAAGTCTTCGAGACGCCTCAAAGCGCTTCACAGGATATATTGTAATAATAATCCTTACATTTGATATGGGGCCTTAACACATCATTGAGACGTCTCAAAGCGCTTCAAAGGATATACGGTAAAGTGAATCGATGTATATTTTGAGGGCGAAACGCAGCGGCCAATTACGCACAGCGACGTCCCCCAAACAGTCCCGGATCGAGTGACCATTTTTTTGAGGGGGTTATTGCCCCCGGAAAGCGATCCACCCATCGACTGGCAGTCGGGTCCCTACTCGCTGCGTTGTAAACAGAGGCGCGTGTGTGGGGCGGGGAAACTCGCCCGAGGTTTCACACCGACGGGTGTCACACCGGGTCCTCTCGCTCGCGAGGCGAGCGCTCTCACCCTGAGCGACACGGCTCCGCTTTCATCTGACGTGTGGTTTACTCCCCGTTTTACAGACCGGAGGACTCACAATGAGCCGAACTGGGGAGAGAGTCATCGCGGGACAGTGTAGTGCAGGTGGGTATTTACCATCAATATCACACACACACACACACACACACACACACACACACCCCCCAAGCGAACGCAGGAGGGCGAGTGATGAGATTCGCAGACTAGAGTCTCCGACATGAACGTGAGTGATATCACAGTGCTCTGACCCCCTCCTCGACGCTCCCTGTCCCGGTGCGTACACCGGGCTGCGGCTTTGCCTCCACAAGTCTTCGAGACGCCTCAAAGCGCTTCACAGGAATCTATTGCAATAATAATCCTTACATTTGATATGGGGCCTTAACACATCATTGAGACGTCTCAAAGCGCTTCAAAGGATATACGGTAAAGTGCGTGCGTGAGTGCGTGTGCCCAATGTTTCGCCCTGACCTGACCCGACCCGCCAGGGAATCGAACCCAGTTCCTCTCGCTTGCGAGGCGAGGCCTCTCACCCCTGAGCTACACGACTAACGCTCCTCGTGTCTGCACAGACCTGCCGCAGTCTTCCGCTGCCAGCGAGCAGCGCAGCTCAGCTCAGCTCAGCTCAGCCCCAGCACCGGGAAGCCTCTCTTCAACAGCTCAAGCCCTAGGCCGGTAGGTGGCAACAACAACAACAACAACTTGCGTTAAAGTAGCGCCCCTCACGCACCGGCTTCAGGGTGGCGGAGTCCGAACCCGAGCCGGAGGGAGGGGGGAGGAGGGTGGGGGAGGAGGTGACCGTGAGCGCCATCAAAAAAGGTCTTTGGTTGGGGATTTGAGGGTGAGAAGGAAGGGGGCAAAGCGGAGGGATTGAGGGGGGTGGGAGGGCGGAGGGGAGTTCCAGCCTTTCGGGGCGCAGTGTAGGGGCTGAAAGCACGGCCACCGGCGGTGGGCAAACAGGAGGCAGCGGGTGGTGGAGTGGGGGCGGACAGTAAGCGGGTCGGAAAGGTGGGGGTGGCAGGCGGGCGGGCGCGGGGGGGGGGGGGTGCCAGGGAGCGGTGGGATTTCGGGGTTTCGGGGGCTGTGTCGCGCGAGGAACGTTCGAGCGCAATCTGACCCGAGGGATTGAGGAACCGTTTCTTGTTCAGTCGGTGCCTCCGAAGCTCCGGGTCAGGTCCCGTCTCCCGACGCGGATGGCGGGGAATCGAATGGAAGGCGTTGGTTTGAAGACGGGTTCAGTCGCCGGGACCCCGGACAGGCAAGTCGCTCGTGCCGCGGCGGGGGGTGGCGGCGCGGGAGACAAAACGCACCACCGCCGGTCCACCTGTCGCGTCCGCAAGCGCTTCGACGCCCCCGCAACGAAGCTCCTCGGGAACGCCAAGCGCGGAGGGAGAGGCTCGCGGGCGCAAGCTTCGCCGTCGGGCGCTTCCGGCTCGCCCAGCCCGGTCCGGGCCGGGCCGTGCCGAGCCGAGGTGGCGGGGTTAAGGACTCGACGGGGTTGGGGTTAACGCGCCGAGAAGAGCTCGTGTTTATTTTTTTTCTGAAGAACAAATAAACGGATTTATTGGTGAATTCATTGATAAATCGATCAATTAAAAGCCGTCGTCTGTCGCCTGTAGTGTCGCTAATCGCTCGCGCCCGGTTTCCGCGGGCGCTTTTTGGCTGCCGCGCCCCCCCCCCCCCCCGGAAATGCTCCTCCTCCGATCTCCCCCCCCCCCACACACACCCCCGTCCGCTGTTCCCACTCTTGTCCTTCGATTCTGAATTCAAGATCCTCATCCTCACCTACGAGGCCATTCGTGGCCGCGCTCCCTCCTACCTCTCCGACCTACTATCCCCCCACGTACCCGCCCGTACCCTCCGTTCCTCCGGCTCCGGTCTGCTCCGCATCCCCCGCCCCAACCGCCCGACCATCGGTGGCCTTCAGCCTCTCAGCCCCGAGGCTCTGGAACTCCATCCCCAGTGCCTTCGCCGCTTCCTCCCTTTCCTCCTTCAAGGCCGGTCTCAAGATCTTTCTCTTCGACCGTGTCTTCAGCTCTCCTCTCGACTCTCTACCCCCTCCTCGCTCCTTCCCTCCCCTCACCCTGACCATTTCCCCCCAATGCTCGGGTCCCGACCCAACTGTCCAGTGCCTTGGGACGTCCTCCCGACGTGAAAGGCGCTCTATAAATGCACTCATGTTGTTGTTGTTCTCTCCCCCCCCCCCCCCACTCCGCCTTCTCTCTCCTGGAAACCACCGTTACCCCCCTCTGCTGTAGCCCGGGCATCCTCCACCGGGTCCATCCTTCACCTGCCACTCCCCCCTCATTCCCCCTGAAATCCAGGACCGTCTCCAAACCCGCCCGCCCCTCCTGGTACCGCAGCCGCCTCCGCTGCCGAAACCCGGCCCCTCGCTCCGCCGGCCGTGAGCTTGAGCATCCTCCGCGCTGACTTTATTCAGTTGCACGAGAGGCTGAGGGGAGCGTGGCCGGGGACAACCGTGGGGACAACCGTGGGAACCTTTCGCCTCGTTAAGACGTTTTGCGTCACCTGCTCTGTGCCCGTTCAAACCTCCCAGGCGAAGCTCCTTGAGCGCCAAGCGCGGAGGGAGAGCCGTGCAGGTGTGTCGTGCAAGCTTTGCCGTCTGCTCGGGGCGGGGGGCGGGGGTTCGAAAATCCCTGAGTTACTTCCCAGCCCCTTGGGACGTCACCTACTGCTGCGGCTGTTCCTCTCCCTGCGTCCGCCTTCTGTGCCTGGTCCGACGAGCGTCACGAGAGCTTCTGTCCAGTCCCCCGGACCCTCCGCGCTTGTGCAAGCCTCGGGCCGTCTGCGTTGCGTGGCTGTGTGGGGCCGGGCCGGGCCGAGGTGAGTGTGGTGGACGCACAGCGTGAGGCAAAACGGAATTTTATTGAAGCGGGAGGTATACAGGCAAAACCATTGGAGGCAGAGAGTTTCCCCAGAACCCCGGGGTGGGGGGTGGGGGGGTGGGGGTGGGGTGTGGGAAGGCTGTGGAGTCCGTGTAGCTCAGTGGTCAAGAGCCATCGCCTCGCAAGCGAGAGAGACGACCTGGGATCGATTTCCGGGATGGGTCGGGTCCGGGCGAAACGTTGGGTGAGTTTCCTTACTCCCCCCACCCCCCCTCCGCCCGCCCACACACACACCCACACACCCACCCACACACCTACACACACACCCACCCACACACCCACACAGCAGTAAGTAGGATCGCTTTTCCAGGGAGTAATAATCCACTCCAATAAATAACAATAATAATAATAATTTGGTCACTTCAATCCACGGCTGTTTGTGGGGACGTGGACTGGGCGCGACGGCACTGGCTGCCGCGGTTCGCCCACAAAACACACGCAGGCGCGCAGGCACACAGTCACTACACCTGACAGCGCGCCCTGTCTCGAGGACGTGATGAGGTGCCGGGTGGAACTGAAGGATGACTGTTACCTGTCTTCTGTCTGGCGAGCGCAGCTAATCTGTGTCCTCTCCCAGCAGAGCAAACTTATTGCTGCTGAGAAACGTCTTGGTGGTCGCTTGCCGGACCCGATCCGTTCCGCCCCCTTCCTCCTGGTCGGAGCTGGAGTCCTCCTCCTCCTCCTCTTCCTCCTCCGAGCAGTGATCGAGGCCCCCACCCCTGGCCTCCTGGAGGGCCATCAGCTCCCGTGTCTCTGGGTGCTGCTCCCAGTACTCTGGATCACAGAGGGCCAATGGGTCACTCGCCCCTCTCCACTCAGGGTATTCCAGGGCACTGCTGATGACCCCCACACACACCACCCCCCACAACACACGCCCACCCACCCCACACACCTCCCACACCCACACACCCCCACACACACACAAACACCCCCCCCACACCCCCCCCACCCCACCCACACACCTCCCACCCCCCACCTCCCACACCCACACCTACACCCACACAACCCCCCCACACACACACACACACACCCTCCCCCACACACACCGCCCACCCCACCCCACACACCTCCCACCCCGCCCCACACACACGCCACCACCCACACACCTCCCACACACCCCCCACACGCACACACTTGCCTCTGTGCCGGCTGTAAGCCGGGGGTCTGGTGCTCAGACACAGACGACCCTCCACTGTCAGGCGGAGGATACTGTTGGCGGCGCGATAGACATCGTTCCGCGCTGCCTTCGCCGTCTTGTAACCTCTCTTCTCAGCCCAGGCTGCAGCGAGACAGGGAGAGCGACAGTGAGAGCGACAGTGAGAGCGACAGTGAGAGAGTTTGTGTAGGGATTATAACCCCCCCACCCCTAGAAAGCGATCCGCTGCCAAAGCGGGTTTGCCTTTTTGCTGCTCGGTCAACAGATCCGCGCGCGCGCGTGTGTGGAGTAGGGAAACTCACCCAACGTTTCGCCCGGACCCGACCCATCCTGGAAATCGATCCCAGGTCGTCTCTCTCGCTTGCGAGGCGATGGCTCTTGACCACTGAGCTACACGGACTCCCGATGCGTGTAAGTCTCCGCCTGACAAGTTGGCGTTGCAGATCCCTGATGGCAATAGGAGGGCAGTGTCATGGGACTGTAGGACACATCTGTGGCGGCAGCACATCAGTGCCCCCCCCTCCCTCCCTCACCACCCAACGCCCCCCCCCCCCCCCCCCCAAACCCATTCGAACCCGGGAAAACCGGCAAACGGGACTGTCTTCGAGCCAAGAATAACTGAGAGACAAACGGCACAAATAAACAGTTCAAAAACCGCTTTGGGACGCGTCCTCCTGACGGCAACGTGAAGGTTGTTGATATGAACCATCCGCTCCGTGCTCATAACATCAGGGCACGCTGGTCGCACACCACACACTCCGTCCCTTGTCGTTGAGCCGACTCGCTGTAGGATCCGGCTGCACATACAGTATAAAGCCCTTTTGTTTGCGGCTGCTGATGTAGACGGAGCAGCAGCGGAGTTAGTTTTGAGTTAGGCCGGTTTGCTCTTGAGCTCTGCGTGCCGGTGAACTTGTAGGAATAAGGCTCGTTGTACTGGAGTCGGTGTGCGGCGAGTGAGCGAGCGAGTGAGTGAGTGAGTGGAGTGGTACTCAGCATAAGAGTACGCACGGGGGAGCTGAAAGGCTTCCAATAAACCTTTCACCGCGCGCGTTGGGTCGACAAATAACAATAATCCTACTCGCGTTTGCCGCAGTGCCTTGAGCCGTCTCGAAAGCGCTCGGCCGGGATACGCCGTACAATGTAGTGACTTAAGCTTTGTGGGTGAAGCGCAGCGGCCAGTTTGCGCCCAGCGGTGTCCCGCGACCGGTCGTGGATCGAGCGACTTAATTCCTTGCGAAGGGGTCATTCCCTCCGGAAAAGCGGTCTGCCAACCGACTAACCAGCGGGTTCCTACTTACTGCTCGGTCAACAGAGGCGTGTGTGTGCGCGTGTGAGGAAGAAGCCCAAACTGTAATAGCTTACAGCAGACACCCCGACTTATTGTTGGCTGTCGCGAGACATGGTTGAAAGCCAGACCTGTTCACCTGTTATGAGCTGATTATTTGCCAAATACACCAAAAGGAGTCTTGTTTTTTTTTTGGTCTCCTGTTGGGTCTTGCGGTTCGTTCCGGGGGGGTGGGGAGAGAGAGAGAGAGAGGTTGGACGTGACTTGACCATTTGATGTTATGCTTGTTGGTTTGTACTGACCCCCACCCACCCACCCACTCACCCTTCTCTCCTTTTGTAAGGTGGATGACAATGGGGTCGGGCCCTATAAATCCGAAAGAACTCCTGAAGGGGCTGGATTGCTTTCTCGGGAAAGACGGGGAGATTAAGAGCGAGGAGGACGTCATTCGGATATACAGGTAAACCTTGTGCCCGTCCAACGTGGAACACAGCGTGCGAGTTTGTTCCTCTCCTTCCTTTCTCCCCCTCCCCATCGCCCTGAGCCCCTCTGCCTAATAATTTTCGGAAAAGCAGGGGAGCAGGTCGCGGTCCCTTCGGGGAGAGCGGAGGTGGGATGCCCGGAGTTCTGGTTGGGTTAGGGGACTCTTTAAGCACAGTGATGGGTCTCCGAGTGTGTCAAGACACCCGGCTGATCAACCAACTGCGTCCCCTGCTCTGCTGCCTGAAGACTTTGTCAAACCTCTCTCTGTCTCTCTCCCTCTCCCTCTCCCTCTTCCGCTCTCACACACATTCTCCCCTTTTTCGTTCGCAGTCTGATGAAGGAATCGAGGAAACTCGTGAGCAGATGCACTTATTTGAACATCATTCTGCAGACCAGATCCGAGGACATCTTGAATCGGTGAGCACATCTCCTCCCTATAGGGGGTCCGGCAGCTCAGTGCTGGTTTGCTCGCACCTGAGCTGACGTCTGACCCCCCCCCCCTCTTCCCCTTTGTTTCCCCTCTGTCTCCTCAGGTTTATCGCGGTGGGGGGCTATAAGCTGCTAAACAGCTGGCTGGGCTATTCCAAGACCAACAACAACCTCCCTCTGCTCCAGCAAATCCTCCTGGCTCTACAGTTACTGCCTCTCACTGTCGACCACCTCAAGCAGGTAAGCCAAGCTCCCCCACTCGCTGACCGTCCCGGTCCCTCGCTTCTGTCCGCCTCTCTTTCTCTCCCCACCCCACCCC